AGGCTGTAGGGTTCTGGCTGCTTAACTGGTGTTGGGCTGAAATCAACAAGGCTGGAACTTTTGGTCAACTCTAGATTGCCTGCTTTTCCTTTCCTTTAGTTTTCTTCAGCTCCTTTCAGATGAATGTTGCAGGGTGTTTATCCACCTGAGGCCCTTTGTAGTGCTGCTTCCTTTATTTTTGCTGAGGCACTGGGAGACCCATTTGCTGTAGAATGCCAAGGCACCAGGATCTCCTCCTGGTATGCTAAAGCATGGCTTTAAGCTAGCTGGCTGGGTGCTCCCCATTGGGTACTGTTCCCTTTCCCCTAGGGCAAGAGGGGCCTTTCCCTTTAATCCCTTAAGCTACCTCGGCTACTGCACTGCTGCTCCCCATCTTTCTTCTGATTAGGTGTTCCAGGGTTTTTCCTGGGGAAATATTTTCTGGGATTTCAGAGGTTGATAAGGGGAATGATATGAACACAATTACAAAACACTTTTCACAGAAATAAATTCAAATCTAAATAATTGTTAAAAAAAAATATCAGTTGCACATGGGTAGGCTGAGCCACCATAATAAAAATGACAATTCTACCTAAGCTACTTTACTTATTCAGTGTCATACCAATCAAACTACCAAAATATATTTCATAGAGCTAGAAAAAATAATAACAAGATTTGTTTGGAATAATGAAAGGTCCAGAATATCCAGGGAATTAACGAAAAGAAATACAGGGGAAGATAGCCTCTCCATTCCAGGTCTTAAAGTGTATTAAAAAGCAGCAATCATCAAAACTACTTGGTACTGGCTAAGAAATAGAGATGTGGATCAGCAGAATAGGTTAGTTATGTCAGACACAGTAGTCAGTGACTACAGTAATCTACTATTTGATCAACCCATAGACCATAGCTTCTGGAATAACAACTCACTCTTTGACAAAAACTGCTGGGAAAAACTGGAAAAGAGTATGGTAGAAACTAGGCATAGACAAAAATCTTACACCATGTACCAAAATAAAGTTAAAATTGGTTCATGATTTATACATAAAGGCTGATGCTATAAGCAAATTGGGAAAGCAAGCAGTAGTTTACCTGTCAGATTTATGGAGAAGATAAGAATTTATGATCAAATAGGAGATAGAGAACATTATGAAATGCAAAATGGATAATTTTGATTATATCAAATTGAAAACCTTTTGCACAAACAAAGCAATGCAACCAAGGTTAGGGGGGAAGCAGAAAACTGGGAAGGAATTTTTACAAACTAATATCTCTAATAAGGACCTCATTTCTAAAATATATAGAGAACTAAGTCAAATTTTTAAGAATACAAGTCATTCCCCAATTGATAAATGGTCAAAGGATATGAGCAGGCAGTTCTCAGATTAAGAAATTAAAACTATCTATAGTCATATGAAAAGAAAATGTTCTAAATCACTATTGATTAGAGAAATGCAAATCAAAACAACTCTGAGGTACCACATCACACCTATCAGATTGGCCAACATGACAAAACAGGAAAATGATAAATGTTTGGAGAAGATGTTAAAAATTTGGAACACTAATGCATTGCTGGTGGAGTTGTGAATTGAACCAACCATTTTATAGAGCAATTTGGAACTATGTCCAAAGGGCTATAAAATGTGCAGACATTTTGAATGAGCAATAACACTTCCAGGGCTATATGCTAAAGAGAGCATATGGGTAAAGGACCCACATGTGTAAAAATATTTATAGCAGCTCATTCTGTGGTGGCAATGAATTAGAAATTGAGGGGATGCCCATCAGTTGGGGAATGGCTGAACAAGTTGTGGTATATGTATGTAATGGAATACTATTGTGCTATAAAAAATGATGAGCAGGTGCACTTCAGAAAAAAACCTGGAAGGTTTTGTATGTACTGATTGCTGAGTGAAGTGAGCAGAACCAGGAGAACATTATACACAGTAACAACCACCTTGTGTGATGACTAACTTTGATAGACTTAGCCCTTCACAGCAATCCAAGGATCTAAGATATCTCCAAAGATCTCATGATGGAAAATGCTATCCACATCCGTAAAAAGAACTATGGAGTCTGAATGTAGATCAAAGCATACTATTTGCTCTTTTTTCTTCTGTTTTATTTTGTTTCCTCTTACTTTTGGTTCCTCCTGTTGGTTCTAATTCTTCCTTATAACATGACTAATGTGAAAACATCTTTAATAGGAATGTATATGTAGAGGCTATATCAGATTGCACACCATCTTGGGCAGGGAGGGTGGAGGGAGGGGAAGAAAAATTTAAAAATCAAAAGTGTATGGAAGTGATTGTTAAAAACTGTAAATATATTAATAAAAAAGAGGGAAAAAAAGAAAAAAAATAAAGTTGAACTGTTTATATTCCTGCATGGAAAGATGATGTTTGTAACTCATGAAACCTTTGTCAATATTAGGGTAGTTGGAGGGGAAAAAATTATATGTATGTATATATAAATATAGATAGATAGAGGGCACAGGGTGAGTTGAAAATGAAGGGGTCATATCTGGAGAATAAAATTAAGGGGTGAGAGAGGAATATAATAGGAGAAGGAGAAAGGGAGAGGTAGAATGGGGTAAATTATCCCCCCCAAAAAAAACAGAAAAGAAAAGGCTCTTACAGTGGAGGGGAAACAGGTGAAGGTGAGAGGGAGTGAGTGAATCTTATTCTCATAGGATTTGACTTAAGGAGGGAATAACATACACACTCAATTGGGTGTGGAAATCTGTCTTACCCTACAGGAAAATAGGGGGGAAGGGGACAAGAGAGTAGGGGAATGATAGAGAGAAAGGCAGATTGGGAAAGGGAGTAATCAGAAGCAAATACTTCTGAGAAAGGACAGGGTCAAAAGAAAGAACAGAATAAATGAGTGGGCAGGACAAGATTAAGGGAAATAGGTTAGTTTTTCACAGCATGTCTACTATGGAAGTGTTTTGCATAACTGCACATATATAACCTATATTTAGTTGCTTGCCTTATCAGTGAGGGTGGGTGGGGTGGGAGGAAGGGAGAAAATTTGGAACCCAAAGTTTTAAAAACACGTGTTTAAAAAAAATGTTTTCACATGCAACTAGGAAATAAGAAATACAGAAAATGAGGTACTGATATCCATCCTGCCTACAGGAAAATTGAAGGGGAAGGGGATAAGAGAAGGGGGGGGGAGAGATAGAAGGGAAAGTAGACTAGGGGAAGGGGTATTTAGAATGCATGTCATCTTGGGGTGGGGGAAGGGGTGAGATGGGGTGAAAATTTGGAACTCAAAATCTTGTGGAAGTAAATGTTGAAAACAAAAAAATAAATAAAAATTCCCATAAAAATAAATAAATACTTAAAATATATGCCTATTAGTTGGTTTTAGAATGCCACCTGGAAGATCTCTCACAAAAGGCATTGGTTGTTGTCTTTTGTTCTTGAAGAGAACCAAAATGACATCATTTTATTGGATTTCAAGGTGCTGTGTGAATGTTCAACTGTGGCTGATGAGAGCAATAGGATTTTGAAAAGCTCTACCTACAAAAAAAATAGACTTTATTGGGAAGTCACCTTGTTACCTAAAAGTCTTTCACATTATCTTGACCTCACTCTGTGTAGTATATCTAGGAACTGTTAACAAGGAAAACATTGAGTAGAAGCTCTTTTGAGGAGTTTAGGATTAATTCTAATATTTTGTTCCACTCATTCAAGCAAGCATTTATTAATCACTTACCAAAGCCAAGTCACCCTGCTAAGTGTGAAGACACAAAGACAAAATAAAATAGTTTCAACCCTCAAGGAGATAATTTTTCCTGGAGGATACAAAACACCTTCCTTGTCTGTATCAACCAGAGCTCCTAGGCCATGGGAAATAATAAAAATAAAGTGTTATAGCCTGAGAAGTCAAAAAAAGGAGAAACAGAAAATGAAAAGGAAGGGGAAAGAAGACATAATAAAAAATCATATACTTTCTAGTTGATTTTGCCCTAACCTTATTGAAGCCAGCTATTGTCCCTTGGAACATGGTGTCTGCTGGAGGTGTGGGACAAAGAGAGACAGCCACCAATTTGAACTTGATGAGAAATGGATTCTGTCTTTTGGGACACATCAGTCAAGCAATTTGTCCAAGAGCTAAGTGAACAAACTAAAATGCAGAATTCAAGTCATTATTTTGATATATATCAAAAATTAAACAGAGAGAGAGGAAAGAGGAGTGGTTTGCCTGTATTCTCCAGAGCAGAACCTGGTCCTTTCACTTTTTACCTTTTTCTCTCTTTTTGGGGGCCAGGGAGAGTAAGGAGCTATTGCTTGTAGTCATTTCTGTACTAGCAAAGTTATATTTAATATTTCAAAAGCTGCAATACACAATATCTTCCTACATTAGTAGTAAACTTCAAATGACATCTTTTTTCTGTTCTTTAATAATCCGTATTTGTTCTGACATAGATTGAGCATGAATAATAGGTAAATAATCAATTGTGGTCCCTGTTCAGATATGACAATTTCCATTTGCTCTCCTCATAATGTGCAATGATATTTGGTCTTTCCAATCTTACCAGAACTGGTGGCTAATTTTCTGTTGATACCCTCTCTCTGTCTCTGTTTCTGTTTCTCTGTCTACACACACTCTCTCTCTCTCTCTCTCTGTCTCTCTCTCTCTCTCCCTGTTCTTGAACTACAGAAACTTTCAAAATTCACTTCACATTAAAATTAGACTATAATGTCTATAATCTCTTTGTGTTTAAGATGGCATTCTGTATAGGAAATAAGTTGAGTATTTTTAAGTTAAACCTTTTATAGATAATCCTTTTATTTTAGTGGTGAAAGAGATCTTAAATTATTAAATAATTAAAAGTATTTCTCCATAATGGAATTGAGCAGCAATGCATTGGTCAAAAAAAAAAATCTAATAAGGTAACATGGACAAATGCTTCTAATTTTCTTTTTAAGGTCCTGGATAGCAGTAAAGGAAAAATATAATAACAGGTAGCCTTGTTATACTTGTCTAAATGTAGTCTTTTTTTTTTTTAACAGTATGAATGAAGCTGGATTAAATCACAAACAGTGGAGGGGTCCTGTTTCATCCAGTTGCAAGCAATGTCCAATGGTTTTCACCAATCCTGTTTGTGGTTCAGATGGTCACACTTACTCTTCACAGGTAAAAACAAATGTCATCATTCAATTAACAATTTTAAATAATAATACACTTCAAAATAAGAGTTCCCTTACAGAGGACTAAATCTTAGGTCATAGGACTTAAAGATAGGAGGCATCTTAGAGGTCATCTGTTTCAAATACTGAATCTGCTCCTGGGTGACCTTGGATAAATCATGTCGCATCTCTGGGGTTTAGTTCCTCATTTATAAAATAAAGTAGTTATGCTGAAAGAGATCACTAAGCTGTTCTTCCTTGTTTTTTTTTTCTTTCTCTTTAGTTCTTAATCCTGTTATGTCTTTCCTTATTTCATCTTTGTCATTAACATAAGTAATTGGTAACAGTATCTCAAAAATATCACCAGTTCTAAATATGGTAATCCTTTACCAGTATTACTAATTCTAAAGCAAATTTTCTTTTAAAATTTAAAGACTCAAGTTACAGATAAACTCAAAGATTCAAGCACTAAATGGCAAATTTCCATAATTGCTGACATGTAAGAAAAGAAAAAAAATCTTAGAATGTAAGAATTGCATGTATGTTTGTTGTTATTGTGGTTCAGTCACTTCAGTGATGTCTGATTCTCTATGATCCCATTTGGGGTTTTCTTGGCTAAGATACTAGAGTGGTTTGCCATTTCCTTCTCCAGCTCATTTTGCAGATAAGGAAACTGAGGCAAACAGTTTTAAGTGACTTGCCCAGTGCCTGAGGTCAGATTTGAAGTCAAAAAGATGAGTCTTCCTATCATGTTATAAGAAATAATGAGCTGTGCAGACTTTATTTTTTTTATTAATTTATTTTGATTTATTAGTAACCACTTCCATATGCTTTTGAGTTTAAAATTTTCTCCCCCTTCCTCCCCACCACCCTCCCCAAGATGGTGGACAATCTGATATAGGCTATACATTTACATTCATATTAAACATATTTTCACATTAGTGATGTTGTAAGTAAAAATTAAAAGCAATAGGACTAACCGTGAGAAAGAGGAAATAAAGCTCAATAGAAGAGAAAAAAATATACCAATTCAACTTCCATAGTTCTTTCTTTGGATGTGAATAGTATTTTCCATCACAAGGCATCTGGAGATGTCTTAGATCTTTGTATTGCCAGGAAGGGTTAAGTTTATCAATATTAGTCATCACACAACGTGACTGTTATTTTGTACAATGTTCTCTTGGTTCTGCTCACTTCATTCAGCATCAGATCATACAAGTCTTTCCAGGTTTTTCTGAAGTCAGCTTGTTCTTCATTTCTTACAGCACAACAGTATTCCATCACATTCATATACTACAACTTGCTCAGCCATTCCCTAATTGATGGGCATCCTCTCAATTTCCAATTATTTGCCACCACAAAAATAACTGCTATGAATATTTTTGTACATGTGGGTCCTTTTCCCATTTGTGTGATCTCTTTGGAATATCACCCTAGAAGTGCTATGAGCAAGCAGACTTCAGAAAAACCTGGAAAGACTTGTGTAGACTGATGCTGAATAAAGTGAACAGAACCAGGAAAATGTTGTACTCAATAACAACTACTATGGAGTTAGAATGCAGATCAAAGCATACTATTTGCTCTTTTTTTTCTTGTTTTATTTTGTTTCTTCTTTCTTGTGATTCCTCCTATCAGTTCTAATTTTTAATTTTAATAGGATTTCATGCATTGGATACATCATTTGGGGAGCATTTATTTGGAGGATGTAGTCAAAAATAGCCCAGGATGAGTAGGTTGTAATCTACACCAGTGGAAGGTGGGCACATTTCAATGGAATCGCAAATCCATTGACATTTCTAAGTAGTAACAACTTTTCTTAAGAGAGACATTCTGGAATATCAAGAAATATAGTATGATTGTAAATATAATTAATTAGAAACTGCATGTAAAATTGTGTTTGGACCTAATAATCTCTCTTTTTTGCATGTAGTTACTACTTTGAAAATATGGATTGATTTTAATTCAATAAACATAATAATAATGGCAATTTATAATATTTGCATATCCATGAAAATACTCCTTTCACAAACTATTCATGTTGCTTCTCTTATCATAGTAACATGAGTTAGGAAGACTCATCTTTTTTTTTAATTAATCAATTTATTTTTAGTTTTCAACATTCATTTACATAAGCTTTTGAGTTTTAAATTTGTTTCACTCTGTCTTTTTGTGGGTTCTGCTGCTTTAGAATGTGTTTAGAGCCATTTTTATAAGTATTTGGAGTGGTTTTGGGGAGAACTCAAGCAAGTCACTGTTTTTACTCTACCATCTTGGCTCTGCTCCACCCTTTCCTCTTTCAAAAGACAGATCTCATACAGAGTAGTAAATTGGAAAGACGATTCAGGCAATGGATGAATGAATTGGAGAAGTGACATACTACACGAAACAATATTAATCTGTAATTGCTAACAATAATACAGGTGAAAAGTGAGGAGAGACTAGACTGCAAGGGATACAAAGAGAATAGAAAGAAAATTAATGGATTAAAGTAAAATTTCAGGAGTGAAATGAACCTGGTAACTGGTTGATTGGTTGTGAAAAATGGAAGTTAACATACAAATGATTTCAGAGAAAGAGAGAGGGAGTTCCATCAGGGGAAAGGCAAGAGATAATTTTTTTGAGAGGATGGCAATGATAAACTAAATTGTAAGAATATTTGATTTCCTTTCAATACCTTTTTAAAATCTAAATTTTATTATTTTTAATTTTAAATCACCTATTTTCCCCCTCCCACTGGGAAAAAAAGAGCAAAAAAACAATTTTTGGGGTGATGAGTAAGCATAACCAAACAGAATTAGTTTCCACAAATACCACATTCAAAATTGCATTGTTCAATATGTTTATTATTCCCTCACTCTGTTTTTCAGGAGATGGGGAACATTCTTGTACCTCTGAAATAATGGTTGATCATTGAATTGGTTAGAATTCTTAAGTTTTTCAAGATTTTTAAAATTTTAATTTAATTTATTTTTTTTTAATTTTTAACATATGTTTTTAAAACTTTAGTTTACAAAATTTCTCCCTTCCTCCCTCCCCACCCACTCTCATGGAAAAGGCAAGCATCTCAATACAGGTTATAGATGTATAGTCATGCAAAACATTCCCATAGTAGTCATGTTGTGAAAAACTACGTTTATTTCCCTTCATCCTATCCTACCCCCCATTTATTCTATTCTCTCTTTTGGCCCTGTCACTCCTCAAAAGTGTTTGTTTTTTATTATCTCCTCCCCCAATCTGCCCTCTCCTCTATCAACCCCCTGCTCTCTTGTCCCTAATCCCCCCTTATTTTCCTGTAGGGTAAGATAGATTTCCATACCCCATTGTGTATGTTATTCCCTTCTTAAGCCAAATCTCATGAGAATAAGATTCACTTATTCCCTCTCACCTTTCCCCATTTCCCCTCCACAATAAAAGCCTTTTCTTGTCTGTTTCATATGAGATAATTTACCCCATTCAACTTCTCCCTTTTTCCTTCTCCTAGTATAATTCTCTCTCACCCCTTAGTTTTATTTTCCAGATATCACTCCTTCATCTTCAACTGACCCTGTGCCCTCTATCTATCTATCTATACATACATGTATTTTTCCCTCCCACTACCCTGATACTGACAAAGTACTCATTAGTTACAAATATCGTCTTTCCCTGCAGAAGTATAAATAGTTCAACCTTAATAAGTCTCTTATGATTTCTCTTTCCTATTTATGTCTTCCATGTTTCACTTGAGTCTTGTATTTGAAAGTTAAATTTTCTATTCAGTTCTTGTCTTTTCCTCAGGAATACTTGAAAGTCCCCTATTTCACTGAATGGCCATTTTTTACCCTGAAGGATTATACTCAGTTTTATTGTGTAGGTGATTCTTTGTTGTAATCCTATCTCCTTTGTCCTCCAGAATATCATACTCCATGCCTTCTGGTCTCTTGATGTAGAAGTCATTCAATTTTGTGTTATCCTGATTGTGTTTCCAACAATACTTGAATTGTTTCTTTCTGGCTGCTTGCAATATTTTTTCCTTGACCTAGGAATTCTGGAATTTGGCTACAATACTCCTAGGAGTTTTCCTTTGGGGATCTCTTTCAGGAGGTGATTGGTGGATTCTTTCCATTTCAATTTTGCCCTCTGGTTCTAAAATATAAAGGCAGTTTTCCTTGATAATTACTTGAAAGATGATATCTAGGCTCTTTTTTGGATCATGGCATTCAGATAATCCAATAATTTTTAAGTTCTCTCTCCTGGATCTATTTTCCAGGTCAATTGTTTTTCCAATGAGATATTTCACATTCTCTTCTATTTTTCCATTCTTTTGGATTAGTATTACAGTGCCTTGATTTCTCAAATTGTCACTAGCGTCCAATTGCTCCATTCTAATTTTTAAAGAAGTATTTTCTTCAGTAAGTTTTTGGACTTTCTTTTCCATTTGGCCAATTTTGCTTTTCAGGGCAAAATTCTTCTCCTCATTGGCTTTTTGCACCTCTTCTGCCATTTGGGTTAGGCTATTTTTTAAGGTGTTATTTTCTTCAGTATTTTTGGGGTCTCCTTTAACACCACTCTCCATTTTTCCTCTACTTCTCTTACTTGCTTCTCAAAATCCATTTTGAGCTCTTCCATGGCCTGGGACCAATTCATATTTTTCTTGGAGGATTTGGAGGTAGGAGCTTTGGTTTTATTGTCTTCTTCTGGTTGTGTGTTTTGATCTTTTTTGTCACCAAAGTAAGATAATATAGTCTGACACTTTTTGCGCTGCTTGCTCATGATCCTGGCCATTTTCTTGAGTTATAAATTCTTTGTTAAGGTAGGAGTCTGCTTCCAGTGTGGAGAATGTACTGTCCCAAGCTTCAGAGGTTTTGTGCAGCTGTTTTCAGAGATACTTCTAGGGACCTGTAAATTTTCAGTTCTTCCAAGCTGCTATGATCAAGGGTGAGGTGTTTACTCCTTTCCTGGCCTGTGCTCTGATCTATGAGTGACCACAAACACTCTTTTCTGTCTTGGAACTGTGAGGAGGATTTCCTC